GTTATGGAATTAACTCTCCTAAATCTTTACTTTTTTATTGATAAGCGGAGAGGAATTTGGGAAGAAATATGCAATTTTTATTAGAATTTTCAATGAATCTTACTGACAGATATGTAAGAAGTTGAATATTACATCAGGTTGAAACAGTGCCTAGGATTTTTCTTGACTCTTTTCTCTGGATCTCAAGTTATTAGCTTTTCTGCCTATATTAAAACAAAAGATATTTGCTGATTTGTTGTTGAAGACTAGTTTTCTGTTAAACACAAAGTGCAGAATCTTTGGCTTTAATATCAGGATTCTGTTTTCTTGTTTTTAGTTCGAGAGAGCAGGTGATTGGAAGGGGTCTCTAGCAATTTGGGCTTAAGATCTCTAGCGATTTGGGTTTTATGAGGAGCAAATCAAGTTTCCATTAGGCCATGAGTAAGATGATGTCTGCGGTTAGAGGTTGGGTGTCCTAAAAGTGAACACTTCATTCGTCTTCATTGCTCACTTCTCTCTTCAGATAACACTGTGGAGGAGAATGATGGAACACTCTTGGGGAGAGGCAAAGGGGAAACAAGAAGAAGAAAATGATTTTCTTTTTTTGGCATGTATGTGTGTGATTACTTTTCTTTCTATTTATTTAGTTCTTATGTAATTATTATTTTTTTTTTTGCTTTCCTACTGTAGGATTTTTTAAGGTTTCTTTTAGGTTTTAGATTTGTCACTTTATTAAAGTGAACATTTGTAGTATATGAAGTTGTATATCTTCAGATATAGTTGCTGTATTACTGCCTCTAAAATTTCTAGGTGTATTTCTAATTAGGAAAAAGTAAGTATTTTACTTAATTATTATTTTTTTGTCTTTCAATAGTGGTCACCGTTGCTTTTAATTTTATGAGTTGTTTGGAAAGTTAAGAGTAATTCTTTTCATAATAAATTTCATTGCCTCTATCCTTTTTGGAAAATAATATGCTTAGCTTTTACTTTTTTTTCTTTAATGCAATTATGATTGGGGGCTTTTAGAAAATGCTTCAAAACATATATCATAATTGAAGAGTTGTAGTTTGTTAGTGCAAAATGCCATGCTCGGTACCTGCAGCTAAAACTATAAGCCCCTTCCTATAATGCCATGCTCAGTGCCTGTAGCCAAAACCATAAGCTTGTGCTATTGTTATAAAAAGTACAAAACTTTACATCATGAAAAGCCCCTTTCCCCCAAAGCCAAGTAAAACCTATATAAGCTGAGACCCTACTGTGATTGGGCCCAGCCTTTGTGACTAGAGTCCACTGGGCCAAATGCCGGTGTTCCAGTAATAAACACAGCTTCTTGCTTATCAGCCTCAGTATCACGGTCTCTCTGATTTGTTTTCCCGCAACCTTTCTTGGTGCATTGGCCAGGAAAGTGGAGAGTTTGGAGGTGGTGTTTTCCACCTTCCTTGTCACTGGTATACAACCCCCAGGGCAACAGGAGAGGCCACTTCGCCTGGCTCCAACAGACCAGTTGATCTGTAGGGGAGAAGCCCTCCTGGCATTCCGGGGCAAGGATCCCAAAAGCACAACGGAACCCAGTGAGGCACAGGAACTAGTGTAAGGAACAATACCTGACAGAAAGGGTAGGAACTGGGGTTGCATGGAATAGACCTGTCCCTAAGAGACAGAAGGGAAGCCTGATCACCTCCCGAAGTCTGCTAGTAGTCTCAAATCTGAAGGAAATGGTTAGAAGCAATGGAAGGAAACACAACAACTCCAACTCTCCACCCAGTACCTTGAAGTCTACGGTTATATCTTGAGACGAAACCATAGATTCCAAGGCACTGGGTGGAGGGTTGGAGTTGTTGTGTAATTATATATAAATGAGATGGACAGTGGAAGGGTTCTGACCTGACTAAAGGGCCGAAGTGAGTGTTGAGTCCTGATCTAAGCTGGTGACAACCTTATACAGCTGAAGGCTGCCCCAGCCCTGTAGTAGGGCTGGTCCATGTTAGGGGTTTATACCAACCTGCCAATTGCTAAGAGGTGTCTGAAATATCTCCATGAGGAGTACAGCTGAAGACGGATGAAGCAATTGTTCCCCTTACCCCTTTTTCCTCTTTCTGTGTGTGATTGGCATCTTTTAGGGGGAGAAAGATGGGTAAAACACAAAGTGCGAACACCCTCCTTGAAATGTATGTTGAAAAATTTTTGGCAAGGTTATTCAGGAGACTGTGATATGAAACTGACTCGGAGAAAGCTCTGAACGTTCTATGAAATAAATTGGTCTTCTTTTGGGATGGAATGGCCCATAGAAGAGTCATTAGATAAAAGAATAGTTGCTAAGGTATTTAAAATTATCATAGGAAACCCAGGACCCGGCCACCCTGATCAGTTCCCATACATTTACTACATTGGCAAGATGCAGTCCTTACTCTTCCATCTTGACTAAAAGCTTGCTAAAGAAAAAACTTGGAAAATTCTGATGGCACTTAAGTTGGCTCCTTCCAGGTGCCTGCCCGAACCAAACAAGTCTGTTCTGGCTAACGAAACAGAAGGGGATGCACCAGCTCTTCACCCTCTTATAGAAGGCTGAGCACAAAGAAAATGGCCCAAATCTGCCAAGAGAAGGTTAGGTATCTCAGCTTCCACCTATCTCAAGGGCAATGCCAGCTTGGTCCAGAGAGAAAACAAGCCATCTGCTCAATCCCAATCCCATCCTCCTGATGTCAAATCCGAGAATTTCTCGGAGCTGCAAGATTCTATGGAATTTGGATACCTAACTTCTCTATTTTAACAAAACCCCTTTATGAAGCCACAAAGAGGGGAGAACGGAAGCCTCTGCTTTAGGAACAAGCCCAACAAAGGGCCTTTAAAGAAATTAAACAGGTTCTCATCAACATGCTGGCTTAGGGCTCCCAGACATAACCAAACCTTCCTTTTTATATGCATGAGTGCTCCGGCATAGCAATGGGGGTCCTAACTCAGATGTTAGGGTCATGGACCCATAGCATACTTGTCAAAGCAACTGAACTCAGCCACTCAAGGTTGGCTGCCTTTTTTGCAAGCACTTGGTGGTGGCTATAGCCCTTCTGGTGGCAAAAGCTGACAAATGAACTATGAGACCCCAACAGTAATCAGGGGTTGCAAATGCTTGAGCAGTGCCACAAAACACTCTTAGGAGGCATGAAGAAAGGAGGGAAAAAGGCCATGAACATGAGCAAAATCTCAGAAGTGCTCCAAGAATCCGATCAGAGCCCAAGCCAAATCTATGAAAAACTCTGCAAGGACTTCAAACTGTACACTCCCTTCAACCTCGAGACAGCTAAAATCAACGAATGATGAATGCAGTCTTTGTCAAACAAGGTCAAGGAAAGAAACATCTGACACAAACTACAGAAGTTAAAAGACTTTGCTAAAATGATTACCAGCCAGCTACTGGAGATTGCGACAAAAGTGTTTGTCAACTGAAACCAGGAAGCCCAACAAGAAATGGACCGGAGACTGAAGAAAAGTGCCCACTTTACTCGCTGCAGCCTTGTCAAGATACCAGGTACCTGCCCAACGTGGATGAGGCTGAGGCCAAGGCCAGGGTCAGGGAAAAGGCCAACCCAATGACCACCCAGAGATGATGTTAGGACTATACCAGCATGTTTATTGGGCCACCCTATTCTAACAAGAAACTGGGGGAAAAAAAATTAATGGGTCTGCGTTCATGACAGAAATAACACAGTTATTAGCCAAATGGCTAAAAATTACCTGGAAGTTACATACCGCCTACCAGCCCCAAAGTTCGGGAGACGTAAAACAAATGAATTGGATATTAAAATTGCAACTAAGTAAGCTATGCCAAGAAACTCACTTAAGCTGAAGCCAGCTCTTGCCAATAGTCCTAATAAGAATTAGATTTAGCCCTACCAAGCAGACAGGCTATTTTCCTTTTAAGATCCTCTATGGAAAGCCACCCCCTCTTGTCAGAAATAGACAAGAGAACTTAAAGAAGTTAGAAAACATCAGCCCAAGGCCGCTCATTTTCTCTATCATTATAACCTTCCCCCTAGTTTTTGCTTTATAGGACTAGCAAAAGCCGCACCAGCAAACTGGACATATGACAAAAGACTTTCATTGTTGTTGGTTGCTTTTAATTTGAGCCTCTTTTACAAACCTAACCTGTTACCCTAATGCATAGGAGCTGCCAACCTCTTCCTGGAAACTTGCTTAATTCTCCCCTGCATAGCTCCACCGCTCATAGGATCTGTCTCTAAATTCACTAAAACCATGGTCAAACAAAAAACGGCAACCCATATAATAATGTTAAATCAGAATGATGTTCTTTAGCCCTAAAGGGGTCGAGCATCAGAGTGGGGGAATGTGATAGGGAGCTTTTAGAAGATGATTCAAAACATATGTCACAATTAAAATGTTCCATTTTGTTAATGCCAAACGCCGTACCTGGGTACCTGCAGCTAAAACCACAAAGCCCCTTCCTGCAATGCAGTGCTCAGTGCCTGCAGCCAAAACCACAATCTTGTGCTAATGTTACAAAAAAGTACAAAACCTTACACTATGCAAAGCCCCTTCCCCCCAAAGCCAATGTAAAACCTGTATAAGCTGAGACCTGACTGTGATGGAGGCCCAGACTTTGTGACTGGAGTCTGCTGGGCCAAATGCCAGCATTCCGGTACTAAACGCAGCTTCCTGCTTGTCAGCCTAGGTGTCACGTCTCTCTGATTTGTTTTCCCGCAACACAATGACAGTTGGTAACATTTAACCCTTGTGTTAGTTTGCTAGGGCTGCTGTAACAAAATGCCACAGACTGGGTGGTTAAAAACAGAAACTTGTTTTCTCACAATTCTGAAGGCTGGAAGTCTAAGATGAAGGTGTTGGCAGATTCGGTTTCTTCAGAGGCCTCTTCCCTGGCTTACAGATGGTCCCCTTCTTACTGCAGTTAACATTGCCCATTATATTCTTATGAAAGTGATATATTTTAAGCTGTCTAATGTAAAAATCTAAGTATGGATTTTTTTCCTTTTTTTTGTAATAGGAATGAAGATCTGAAACAAATGTTGGAGAGCAACAAAGATTCTGCTAAATTAGATGCTATGAAACGGATTGTAGGGGTAGGTAAAACTATATTATTTCAGTTTTTGGAAAATGGACAAATAGTGATTATATTAAATATTATGTTAAGTAATATGTTAAAGACGAAATCCAACATCCCGTTTGCCCTTTAATAGTAACTAATAATTTCCTGTCTAAAAATGTTAAGGAAAAAACATACAGTGTTGCAGGATCAAAAATTAAGAAACTTGGATTACAGTCCAAATCTCGTTTATGAAAGATGGTTAATAGGTATCAGTATGCTCTGGTAAAAGATGAGATGGTTTGAAAATCATATATGTGAAAGCCAAGGAGTAATTGTACTTGTAGGATACCTGTAAATGTCTTGATCTTTGTTTTCAGGTTTATGTCATTTGAACAGGGTAGGAGAAATTTTGAGAATTCCATAGTAAAATTTTGATTTATTAATGTCATACTTTATACATAGGAGTGTTTATGGATGGGCAGTTCTTTCTTTGTTGGTTTATATATATATATGATTTTCATTTACCACAGTTTAGCTAAATAACACCATTCCCTCAACAGTATGGTTTAGGCTGGACTTGGTGGCTCAGCCTGTAATCCTAGCACTTTGGGAGGCCTAGGCAAGTGGATTGCCTAAGCCCGTGGGTTCGAGACCAGCCCAGGCAGCTTGGCTAGACCTCGTCTCTATAAAAAATAAAAAATTAGCTGGGCATGGTAGCGCACGCCTGTAGTTCCGGCTACTTGGAAGGCTGAAGTGGAAGGATCGCTGGAACAGGTGGTCGCTGGGGTGGCTGTGAATGTGCTACTGTACTCCAGCCTGGGTGATGGAGTGAGACTCCAACTCAAAAAAAAAAAAAGAAAGAAAATAGTTTAATATTTATTTACTATGGCACATGAACTGAGTACTTACATAAAGTTCAAACTTCATTTCTAGTTCTTCAATCCACATATCACTGTGTAAATTACAAATGTGTATCATGATCTGTGATCGGTCTTGCCACTTCTTTCAAAATCTGTCAGCAGTTCATCAGTGTACTGTTATTCAGTTTGTGAATAGACAACAAGCATGTAGTTGTGTTGCCTTCTTGTTTCCCAGTAAGAAATACATGTGACAATTTACAGAAATGGATAATTGAAAGGGGGATTTGGTCAACAAAGATGAAAGTACAGCAAAAAAAAAAAAAGAAAAGTAGTAATACTAGAAATGAAATTGAGATAGAATATATTGTTTACAGTTAAACAGAAAAGTGGAAGCATTGACATTCCCAGTTTCTGTGAGACTGTAAATTTGTAGCTGGAGAAACTTGATAAAGGTAAGCTTATTAACATAAATAAGGAAAGTGGCTTTGATGCAAAGGTTGAAAATGTCTTGGAGGATGTGATGCTGGCAGAAAACTTCACATTAATTAAAGGAACTCTAGGAGATAATTTACAACATTGAAAATGTAAAGGATAGCTGGACTTGGTGGCTCAACCTGTAATCCCGCGCTTTGGGAGGATGAGGTTAGTGGATTACCTGAGCCTGCGGGTTCGAGACCCACGTGGGCAACTTGGCGAGACCTTATCTCTACAATAAATCAAAAAATTAGCCGGGCATGGTAGTGCGTGCCTGTAGTTCCAGCTACTTGGAAGGCTGAGGCAGAAGAATCGCTGGAGTCCAGCAGGTCGAGGCTGCGGTGGCCGGGAGCGTGCCACCGCACTCCAGTCTGGGCGACAGTGAGACTCCAACTCAAAAAAAAAAAAGAAAAGAAAATGTAAAGGATAAAATGTTGGAAGGAGAAGGAACGTGATAATTTACTAAAGTATGCAAGAGATGCTTGCTCAGTATTATGAATAAAACATTGAGAAGAAGAATCCTTATCTTTTTTTTTTGTTTTTTTTTTTTGAGTTGGAGTCTCACTCTGTCGCCCAGACTGGAGTGCAGTGGCCACTCCCAGCCACCGCAGCCTCGACCTGCTGGGTTCCGGCGATCCTTCTGCCTCAGTCTTCCAAGTAGCTGGAACTACAGGCGCGCACTACCATGCCCGGCTCATTTTGATTTTATTGTAGAGATGAGGTCTCGCCAAGTTGCCCAGGCAGGTCTTGAACCCACGGGCTCAGGCAATCCACTCACCTCAGCCTCCCGAAGGCGTGGGATTACAGGCTGAACCACCGAGCCCGGCAGCAAGTCCTTTTCAAACTGCTCTTGATTAGTTAATTTTCAGTGTTTCTAATGTTTTGAATCATAGTGTACTGAATAAATGCTGATTTTATTATTTTTTATTTTCCTATAAATTTATAACTGACAGTAAAAGTTGTTAATGTTGGACAAAAAACTTAAAGATCATAGATGAATTGAAATTTTTCCAATGACTTAAGATTGCTTTCCATCGTTTCAGCTTGCATTCCTGCAGGACACAGTTGCATACTACATGCAAAGCAGGAACTGCCCTTAATTATTTCTTTAAACTTTAGCTTTTACATCCCATTAAGATAATTTATTTCATCAGATCCCAGGATACTACAGAAATTCCTGATTCAGTGGAAGGATGAATATGTTAAAAAAATCTTTGGATAAAATTTTAAAATCTGAGACTATGGCATTTGGTAGTTTTTTCTATGTTCTTCTTAAACTGTGATAAATGCAAATCAATAGTTTCATAATCTGGACTACTAGAAATGTAATTTAAATGTAAATAAATGGATCATAAAGAAGTGTAAATATAGCTATATATGCCTAAAGTTACATACTGTCTCTTACTAGTAAGTTTGTATAAAGGTAAATTTAGGATTTGATCTTTTAATTGCAGGAAAATGATTAGTAACTAAAAATTATTCTTATAACAGTGATATAAATATCGCTTATGTCAGTGCTATAAATATACCTGTACATTTTCAAGTAACACTGAGGTATAAAAAGTAATAAAAGGTTTATCTTCCAAATAGACATTACGATCAAATTAAGTTCTGTTAAAAATTATTTCTAATTTTGATTAGGATAGTACAGAATTTACATATTCTTTCCTTCCTTCCCTCTCTCCATTCCTTTTCTCTTCCTCCTTGTCTTTCAGTAGTGTTATTTTATAGTTATCAAAGAAATCTTGTGTGCTCCTTTGTTCCTTGTTAGATTGATACCTGTGTATTTGTTTACTCTCAGTTGCTCTTTTGAATGGTCTCATTTAACTTTAAAAATTAATTATTACTGTTATATAAAAAAAACTGATAAATTTTCTGTATTTTTGTATTTGGCCTGCTCAGTGAACTCTCTTTTTAGCTCTTTTTAGTCTTTCAGTTCATTTTATTGGATTTTCTGTTTAGATAATTACATCATCTGTAAGTTGTGATAGAGTTATCTTTTCTTTTTCTTTTCTTTTTTTTTTTTTGATTTGGAGTCTCACTCTGTCGCTCAGACTGGAGTGCAGTGGCCGTTCCCGGCCACTGCAGCC